GAGGTTCATATATAGCATCATAAATATAATCAGTCTATATTGTGTCGATGGTCACCTAAGTTCAAAACGAAACTAATGAAACTAACTTTTTTATTATTCCTCCCATATAATGTCGCAATTTATATCTTTTTATTTTATGTAGCCCATGACTAATTTTTATGTATGTAATTGATCTTACTACTTTTATCTTTAAACTTCATAAGAGCTTTTTAAGTGATTGGTCTGCTAACTTTATGTTTGCTTTTATCATTGAAATTTTTTTCCTCCTCTAATACTCTTACTTCTAGGTATGGCCTTTTCTTTTCACTTAAAGAAATCCCTTTAACATTTCTTATAAGACAGGTTTAGTGGTGATGATGAACTCCTTTAAACTTCAATTTTTGTTTATTTAGATAACTCTGTCTCTCCCTCAATTCTGAATGATAACCTTTCTGGGTAGAGTATTCTTGATTGTAGGTTTTTTTTTTCCCTTTCATCACTCTGAGTATTGTGTTTTCACTAACTTCTGGCCTGCAGTCTCTGCTAAAACTCAGCTGACAGCCTTAAGGGGTTTCCCTTGTAGGTAACTGTCTGCTTTTCTCTTGCTGCATTTAAGATTCTTTCTTTCTTGTTAATCTTTGCCATTTTGATTACTGTGTGTCTTGATGTGGACCTCCTCGGGTTCATCTTGTTAGGGGCTCTCTGTGCTTTTAGGACCTAGATGTCTGTTTCCTTCCCACATTTGGGGAAGTGTTCAGCTATTGTTCTCCAAACAGGCTTTCTGCCCCTTTCTCTTTCTCATTGCCTTCTGGGACCCCTATTATGTGAATTTTGTTTCATTTGCAGTTGTTGTAGAGATCTGTTAGTAGTATCTTCTTGTTTTCAGAAATTCTTTCTTTTGCTCAGTGTGGTTACTTTCCATTAGCCTGTCTTCCACCTCACTGAACCATTCTTCTGCATCCTCTAATCTGCTGATGATTTCCTCTAGTGTATTTTTCATTTTAGTTACTAATCTTCAATTCTGACTCATTCTTTTTTATATTTTCTAACTCTTTGTTGAAGTCCTCCCTAAGTTAATCTCCATTCCAGTGAGCATCTTTGTGACCACTACTTTGAATTCCTTCTCAGGTACATTGCTTATCTCCTTTTCATTTAGCAATTTCTCTGATATGTGTTCTTGTGTCCTTGTTTGGAACATACTCCTCTGCCTCCTCATTTTGTCTGGTTCTGTGTTTGTTTCATACAGACCCCAGAGCCAAGTGTTCTGGGTGCAGGGAGTTTATACCCCTTCCCCTTCTGTACCTTATTCCTTCCCACTTACGGGCTGAGCTGGGGTGGGGTTTGTATCGTGATTGATCATGGCTCTGTCCCCTTTACCCTTCTCTATATGACCTTCTCTTCATTATTAGCTGTGGAAGGTCTGTTCTTCAGGTCTTCAGGTCATTTTCAGAGTCAGTTGTATTAAATGTAGTTGCTGCCTCAGTGTGTATATGGGAGGAGATTATCCCAGTGAACCTCCTACTTGGCCATTTCCTCCAAGAGGCTTCTTTATGAAATATTTAATTTTTGTACTCCATGAACTCTTGCACATTCCTTTTCATCTCTTATTCTACCACTTATTGTGAAGTTTCTGCAAAAAGTTTGATTTAAATATCTTACCTGTTGTTGGAGATACCACATAACACATTTAGCCAGTTTTCTTATACTTGATCCAAACCAATCAAGAATGGCTAAGAAAGGATGAAGCTGGTTAATGTTATTTTGGAGCAATCAAGGGTAGTCCTACTCAAAGTGGGATCCATGTGCTGGCTTGTGCTGCACTCAACTAACTATATTGTTAAGCAGATTTTATAGTTACACTCACTTTTTTTTTTTTTTGCAAGAATAGAGGAAGCAACTGTTGATTTCCAGTCTGGCGCACACTCTATACCTTACGTGGACCAGTAAACATTTTGGCACTGGCTACTTTGAGCTTCACTTGTCTAAAGCACAGGAAGGTGATTTTTCAAAGTTCATGTTAAGTACTATAAACAGCATCAGATTTTAAGTCCTTTAGTTTTTAGGCTATGGCCTAATGTAGAGTGAGGTCTCAGTCATATTATCACAGAAGTGAAATATTTCACCTTGTTCTGTACCTTTTACTGGCTAGTAAACCTCACTTCAAATGTACCACACATTAAGGGTGAGGAGGGTGGGGGAATGACCCAAGGAATGAAGAGAAAATAGATGTCCTGTTCTGGGGCAGTGCCACATAATGTAAACTAAAGCCCAGCTCTCTCCTCCTCCGCGTGGGCTGACTGCATGTGTAAGAAGTGCTCCTGTTTGGAAGGCTGCCACCACACGCCAGACTCGGAGTCCGTCAGGTTTCTTCAAGCTTTGTGCTTATGCCAGATGGCTTTGCCTCAGTTGGCTGCATTGGTCCATTGCTTAAGTAACATTCCTCATATTAGTGTGTTTACTGTCTCATTAATTTTAACTTGTCCAAAGCTTTTCCCAGTCCAGAAGCCACTAGATTAAATCTCAAGCTGTGTGTTTTCTATTAATATGCGTCTATTGAAAAATCTCTTCATAAAATAGATCAAGACAAAGGAAGAGTGACAATAAGAAAAAGTTGATACTATGAAAATTAATGTTTCATTTCCCTTTGGCATTTTCCTTAGACTGATAAGAACTTTTCTAGAATTCATAGTATTTGACAAGGTTATGATGGCAGCTTAAAGCTTATTTCTGTAAGTGTTCTTGTTTTTAATCAATAATTATAGGCACTGAAGACACAACTTGTTTTTTGTCTTATTCATAGAATATATTGGAGAACAGTAGCCCTGTTGTCCTAATTTGTAGTACTTGCTGCATGTAAGTCTTCTCTCAACAGCGGCTATGAGATTGCCATTAGAATCTCAGAGTATGTTGTACCATGCCTTATGTACTTATAGTCTTGTTAATATTTCCAGCATTTGCTCCTGGGTGTAAGAATCTAGACATATATAATAAGAAGAACTTATTGCTTTGGACAGCAAAGATCTGGAAAGGTTGTTTTTTGTACCCTAGAAATAAGTTGGATGGGTTTCCTATGTCTTACCTCTTCTGCTTTCCATGATAGAATCATTTATTTCTCTTCTTTGTTTAATGTGGTCAAACTTATGACCTACACATTTAAAAATTCCTAGTGGAAGAGGGTTGAGGTTTCTGAACTATACAGTAAATTCTAGGAGATTTCCCAAGATGCAGACTGATGCTACTTGAGCTTGGTACCTTTACATGTGTGTTTTATTCATTTACTTGGTGAGCTAGAAAATCTGATAGCCACTCTGAAAATTTTACTTCTCAGATAAAGAAATGCCTTTTGTCCCTTAACAAAGGCTTTTGGTTTGTTTTAGAAAAAGCCTTCTACTTAACCCAGAAAACCACACTTGTGTCTATGGAAATTTTTAGTACTTTCACTGTCAGAAAGTGGCCATAAAAAGACTCTACAAAATATGCACATGGAAAGATACTTACTTCTATTAGGGAAATGCAAAGTAAAATGACCATGAGGTGCCATTACAAAGGAGTTGGAATGGCTAAAATTAAAGCTGCTGATCATACTAAGTGTTGACAAGTGTGTAAGAAATGTGAACTCATTCACTACTTGTGAGAATATAGAAATGGTACAGTCGCCCAAGAAAACATTTCACTAATTTCTTAAGAAATTAAACATGCATCTAACATATGATGGAGCTCTTCTCTGAGGTATCACCCAAGTGAAAGGAAAATGTTTTTCTGTACACAGACTTGAACTTGGAAGCAACCCAAATGTCCATCAAGAGGTGAATATATAAACTGACTATGGTATATCCATACAATGTAATGACTACTTAGCAATAAGGAGGAATGAATTTTTGATACATGCTACAACATTGACAGATTTCAAAATAATCATGATTTGTGAGAAACTCCAAACAAGATTAGTGCATCCTATATGACTCCATTGGTATAAAATTTTAGAAAATGCCAACTAACCTACAGTGACAGAAAGTAGATCAGTGGTTTCTTGGATAGAATAGAAAGAGGGGAAGGTGCAGGGAAATATAACAGATCTGAGGAAAATGTTTGGGTATGATGGGTATGCTCATAATTTTGTTTCTGGCAATGGTTTCAGTGTAGCATGCATATGTCAAAACTCACCGAAGTGTGTGCTTTAAGTATGTGCAGGTTATTATATGTCAGTTTATTCCAGTAAGGCTGTTAGAAAAATAAACAAAAGACTGTACCTCTCAGTTGCTTATGTTAGTGTAAGGTGTTTTGGGGACAGTGATTAAGATTATAAAGGACATGATCCCAGTGAGAGTCTGGTAAAAGTTGCAGAACCTCTCCCCAGAAATATGAGCAGGAGGTTTTGCCTCCAATTTAGAAGGTTCAGGCTAAAAACCCGAGGTTTATCATCTCCACCAACTAAATGAGGCTACCATTTCATTGATTATACCATTGCACTGCTTTCAAAATAAGTAATAATAACATAATGATTATTGAACACTTCCGTTACTACACTGTGGTCCACTTCATAAAATCCTGCCTTAAATACAGTAGAGGAAATTCAGGACCAAAATATCAATTTTATGAATATTTTTTTAAAGAACAGAGTCAATATCTGACAGTTTAGCTATTCTAAACTGTTTCTAACTTCCCCATTATGCCAAGATAATACTAAGAAGTTGAAATTTACCCAAACCTTAAAGAGAATAACAAGTGTATCTCTTTTTTATTTTCCAAAATCCTTTCTGGCTATATATAAATAATGCTAATACTCAAGTCTGTGTGACATTTTGGTCTCTAAGGCTGCTGCTGATAGTACCTATAATATTCCTAAAATCCTTCCAACCACTGCTTTTTCTCACCACCCAGAATTACAGTTCTGAGTGAAATGCAAAGAAAAATGGCATATAATATATTCAATTCCCCTTTTCCTCTGATATTTTATTTGCTATTTACACTGTCTTATAAATTTGATAAAGGAAACCCTTCTAAGGTGATTGTACCACATCCTTGCATGAATGTAGTCTTAAGGTTTCCCATGAAAAAGACCCAGAGACATAGATTTGCATTTGCAAGTTTTTTGAGGAGTGCTTTCTTGACCAACATTTGGGAGGGAGTAAAGGAAGTAGAATTTGGCAGACAGAGGAATTAAATAGCCACTCAACTACAGCAAAGGGTTTAGCCAATCCCACAGGGAGTTCTGCATCGGAGGCGGCCCTTAGGGTTGTCCCGCCCAGAGGCAGTGGGGCCTGTGTACTGCCACGGTCAGTCATGGATGCTGCTGCCTTTAGGGAAAGAGTCTGACTTGAGGGGAGACGGCTGTCCTTAGCCTCGGAGAATTCCCAAAGAGGATGGAACTAAGGGGCATCCACCACCCAGTGCCCCAGCCAATGGGGGATAGTCACGCCATTCCTGGAGAGAAGATCGGGGCTGCGCACCGCATGATCCACTGTCTGCCCTTTGCATCACTTGGATCCACCTGGGAACAGTTCTCCCAGAAGGGGCTGCTTGCTTTTCCCGGGAAGAGTGCTAAGAGGGGAAGTTCAGGATGTGACTTGCAGTTCCCATTGCTGCAGACCGTCTTGGGCCACACGCATGCCCATCACGTCCATCCTCTGGTACTCACTGCAGAGTCCTCTGCCTGAGCCTGCCACCTGGGCTAGCCTGGGTGGTTTACCTGTGCAGTGACCTGGACTCTCATCTGTGAACAAAACCGAGTGGAAAATGGCCAGTCTGGCTGGTTCCTTGTAGATGAAATGGTTGGAGATAGTAGAGATGAAGAGAGGTAAACAATTTCAAATACAGAGTAAAGGCAGAACTTTGGAAATTGCTGGTGGATTAGATGTAACAGTTGAAATCGATCAAGATAAATGCTGGGTTCCAGTTCAAGGTGGCAGCAAAGGAGGATCCTGAACTCACCTTCTCCCACAGACATACCCGATCTGCAGCTACATTTGGAACTGGTTCTTCTGAAAGAAAACCAAAAATTTGCTGAGCAACAACTCCTTCATTGGGTAAACAAGAAAAAAATGAAATGGAAACGAGAGGCTGAGACACAATCTCTCCACAAACCCCACCCGAGTGTGGCAATATACACTTACTTAAGAGGAAACTTACAGGTCCCGGCTCCTTCTTGAGGAGCACAGGATCTGAACCCCACACCCCACTCCTAAGGCCAGCACCTGAGAGATGAGCCCCCAAAACATCTCACTTTGAAAGCCATCAGGGCTTGTGTCCGTAAGGTCCACAGGGCTGTGGCTCGCACAAACTTAGGGCTGGACCCCAGGGCCCAGCATATGGTGACGTATGTAAACTAGACTTACTGTAGCGATCATTTCATAACATGTGCATCTATATATACATACTTCATATATATATAATATGTATAAAATTAATCATGTTGTACCCCTAAAACTAATAAAGTGTGTTACAGGTCAATTATAACTCAATTTTTAAAAACGAAAAATGGCCAGTCTTTAAAGTCATGGTTACCTAGGATGCCCAGTATTCATTTGAGCCGAGTTAATTTGGGGAAGAGAAATGGGATTATTGCCCAGGAGACACATTTGTAGAAATTCTTGAAGATATGACTAATTCTTCTTGGGGTCTTAGCCTGGGGCTTAGTCCTGGAGCCATCTAACTCAATACTCGCTGTATGTCAGACACTAGGATCCCAGCTGTGGACCAGGCAAGGTGTCTGTACCTGTTGGAGTTTATGTTCTGGGCATGTAGGGTAAGTGAAAGGCTGCCTCCAAAAATACTTCATAAACATATAGCATGTCTGGTGGTGATACGTGCTTTCGAAAAGGAAAATCCCGGATAAAGAAATAGTGAAGCATTGCGGGAGGTGTTACTAAGGTAGCCAGGGACATCTGAACAGAAGCTGGGAGGGGCAGAGGGAGGGAGGCAGTCATGGAGGAAGAAGGAATGGCGGGGATAGAAGTTCTCAGGTGGTAGCGAGAAATTTGGTGAGAGGTGAGGTCACAAATGGCACGGGAGGCCTGAGCAGCTGGGGTTTGTAGACCACTTAGAGACTGGCTTTTACACCGAGCTGGAATGCTACTGGAGGGTTTTCAGTAGAAAAGGAACATGGTCTGATTGCACGTAAAAAGGCTCTGCTGGCTGCTGGCTGAAGGCTGGGCCATGGAGGGACCCAGATGGAAGCAGGGAAACAAAAAGCTATTATGCAAGTCTAGTCATGTGTGGATAGTAGTAGGGGAGGTGGTGAGAGGTTGTCAGTGTCTGTATATGTGGATACATTTCAAAGGTGAACTTCTTGCACAGTGAGTAAGATTTTGTGTGTATCAAAGCATTTGAATGTAGTGTGGAACTCAGATCCGTAATGGCTTATTTCAGCACCACATGGTAAGAGTGGTGTTAGAGATCTAGGGGAGGGAGCGGTTTGAAGCTCTTCCAGGCAAAATCCAGGGTAGGAAATGGCAGAAAAGGACCTGGAGAGAGTGAGAGTTAGGTGGAAGGGATCGTGGACCACATTAAAAAGTTGGACTTCACTCTGAAGTTGATGTGAACAGTTAAATGGTATTACACATTCCATTTATGACCTACTTTTTCTAAGTAACTGATGAAGGTGAAAAAGAGGGGCTCATGAGGAGTTAAGACCAAAGGCGAGGAAGCCACTTACGATATGCCATTGTTCAAGGTAGAGGTAACAAGCCAATATTTAGTGTGCATTTGCTATACATCATGCACGAGTCTAAGCACTTCATGTATATTAACTCAATCAGTAAAAACAACGCTCTCAGGCAGGCACTGCTTATATCTATCCACATGTGACAGATGCACAGACTCAAGCACAAGGGACTAAGTAAACTTGCCCAAGTTCATGGGGCCACAGCTCGAAACAGGAGGCAGGATTGGAACCCAGACTGGAGAATTCAGGCCCTTACATACTATGCTACATTCCTCTCATGAACGTAAGAGCCTGGAGATCTAGGAAAATAATTGGACAGATCTCTACTGTGTCCCACACTGCGTTATTAGCCATCACTTCACATGAGTGTTACAGCAGGGTCATAGGAAACCCGCCCTATCACCTCCTTTTCCCCTTGAAGCTTGGATTCTTTTTTGGCACCCATACCTATTTGCACTCTGCCTTTCTGCAGTGATCCAGTGTACAGAGCAGATGTTCAGGTTTGGCCTTTGTGTAAGACAATATTGTTATGTCATCACTGTGTCAGGTAACCCATCTTGGCTTCTGTCTTCGCTAAGAATTTCTTTCTAGGGAAGTACTTTAGATTTGGGTTTCATTGATGTGCATTCCCCACAGTTCACATAAATTAACTCACCACCACTAGAACACCAATACCATATGAGATTGTTGTGAAATATGCTAGTATCTGGGGAGAGAAGTGTATCATTCCGCCGATCACTGGGAACATAAACAGAGACTGTAAATAGTCATTTTGTAACTGTTACCTTTCCAACTGTCAAAATGTGCAGAATTTGAGTAGTACCAGGAGTTGTAGAGAAAATGATCTGGAGAATGTCTGACTTAGTTTGCCAAAGAAACATCAGCTCGGCTGCCGTGCCGCCGATAGATTATCCGCGCCCCCCCCACCCCAACAATCTTACTTCCTCTTCTGTTTAGATTCAGGGAGGTGTTGAGCATCTGCTTCTTTTTCACGTGGCTGTTAATGATATTATTACAGTTTCGTAAAGCACGATACTTACCATACCTTAGGCCAAATGTCCAAAAGAGCAAATAGAAGCTTCTAGTTCTGACAGGGATTCAAGCCTGTAAGTGGGACACTGGGACACAAAAATAGCAAGAAATAGATGACTCACACAAAAGTATTGTGTAGCCCCAGCGGTAGGGCAAGAAGGCCCCAATCCTGGGTCCTCAGTGAGTATTACCTGTGTCCTTGTGACCAGGAGAAAGGCAAGGCACTTGTAAGTGAAGGCAGGGGGCAGAGGGGGCTGAGCTCAAGGAAGACAGTAGAGTCTGCACCAGAAAGGAGGGGAAAGAGGTTCATTTGGGAAAGTGGGAAAGGGCCGGAAAGATGTTGAGGGGGCAGCATTCAGACGCCTCGCTAGAGTAATTTAAAACCTGAAGTTCAGTGTTACCAGCACATACTTAAGAAACTCTAAAGTAACAGCAAGCTCTTTCTTCTCAGCTCACGTTCCAGGTAAGGAGCATTTTTATTTTTGAAATCCAGGTGCACAGTCAGGAGAAGGGAGAAAACAGTGACACCCATCTTTTTAATGAGCATTGCTACTGGAAGAGAAATTAGCATCACTCTGAGTTTTTTGTGATGTCAGTTAAATGAAGGTATTTTATAGCACTTTACAACAAATTAGAATCAACTAAATTGAAAATAAGCCTAGCAGCTGGGATAAGTAATCAGGTAAGTGGCCAGTTTTGCTATTTTTGCTTTGAGCTAAAGACAGAAGCTGAATTGCTAATGTCCCTGAGGTGTAAGATCACAAATGGGGAGCATCATTTCTGGGATGGTGGTTTAAGACGCTAGAAGCTCTGTCTTGCCCTCCAGTCTACAACTCGCTTAGCCAGGTTCCCTGGAAAGTGGCCGTGGCACATCCGGTGTGCAGCAGAGAGCACGAGAGGGATGTGCTCCAGTGCAGGCCAGAGCTCTGCTTTTGGCAGAACGTTAGGGAGCAGACTGGAAATAGATGACCCAGAACAAGGCAATAAATCATCCCCATTAACTGAGAGGCTCTGATGAAAGGACGGAAATTCATAGACAGACTTTATGGCCACTCATGAAGTCAGCCCAAATCAGAGGAACTATTAGAACAGTTTTATGTCGTAACAAAATGGTGGCTGTGCTCCCGGGCTGCAATTTGCATACAGTCAGAATGCCCTGACAGAATTAACACTGACTGCGGTGGACAGAAGTTACAGCAAGTGCCTTTCACTCCCTGGGCCAGGGTTTCTTGTGTGGATTACTAGACGACGTGAGTATCTGAAGTGTGTTCGGGAAGCTGTTGAGGAGGCTAAAGGAAGCTTGGCAAGCGTAGCTATGCTGAGGTTGGTGGCCCAGGCTCTACCCCATGTGTGTGTGGGCAAGAGGCAGAGGAGAGAGACGAGGGAATGGGAGCATTACTAGACGCAGACCTTGCCCATTGCTCAGACGGAAGGCCAGCAGATATTAAGAGGGCAACAGATGAAGATAAAACGACACTTGTATTATGCTTTCTAAAGAGAAATAGGCTGTATTGAGCATGTAATTTTCATATTTTTTCTCCTCTCAGCTGCTGAATTAAATGAAATAAACTGATTTGCAAACCCGTGGATCTAGGTTGTTTCCTACTAGAGGAAAATAAAATTTGCACAGATTTTGTGCTACTTAAGCATTGTCTACTAGAAAATTTTTCTCAAAATATTTATAGGTTTACTTTTTCATCTTAATTTTTTATCTTAAAATATTCAGACTTTTCAGATGCCTAATTACAGAAGCAGCAGGTGATTTGATAATGATAAATGGCACCTTCTCCCCTAATTTCTTCAATAGTAACTTCTCTGACCCTAACCAATAGCCCTTACTTCCAGTAGTTTAAGTTTAGATATGGGAAGAACAAGGTTTTAAACTTCCATCAGCATTACCTTTTGATAATTCTGTTCATAGACAGCATCTTAAGCCAGCAGAGTAGGCAGGCAAAGCTGATGTCTCTACTAGCTTATCAAATGTATCATGATTCCATGGCAAATAGAACGAGTCTCTGATGAATCAGCCAATACTGAAAACACATCTTCACTATCGAGCTCCAAACTGACAGCCTCTCGTGCTTGACTGTGGTCCACCAACTACCCCAGGGCACTTTACTGGCTTGATGGATCACTGGGCTCTGAAAGCACTAAAACGTATGTCCAAGTTGTAGAGGTTATCCACTCTATCTTGTTGCTTTGATGACAATGGATACAGAGGATTGAGTGAATTTGTAGGACAGGAGTTCAAATGTGGTGACCCATTATTTCCAGAGAAACAGTTCTCTGCAGTATCTCCTCTCTGCTTTGTACTCTCCTCTCCTGGCTAATAAATTGCTTAGTCATGAGCGCCGAGAAAAACCTAGTGGGAACACTGGGAGCTGCTGCTACTGTTTCTACTTTGCATTAGAACGTAATTTCTCATTTTATTTTATGAAATGTGGGGTTGATGTATCATGAGTAACTCAAATGTGCTGAAGATACTGGTGTAGAAAATGTCTGCCCGAGAGTAATCTGGTCGTTTACATGCGCTTTGTAATAACATCTGAGAAAGAAATGACTACGCAGCTTATTGTATCATTTGTCACATTGCCTGAATCACTAATGTAAAGACCCAATGTTATTGGAAATAATGTAGACATTTTCCCTCCATGTTTGTGTTTTACAGTGGCTGCTAATTTACAGAAGATTGTAGATGATCCCAAAGCTTTAAAAACATTGACATTTAAGTTGGTAAGTTGAAAGTTATGGAAAAGGTAAATACGTTATCATGCTGTGCCAGCAAGGAATAATAATATTGTTTAATAGCCTGCTCTGTAGCTTTGTCGCTATTGTTCTTTTCTTTTGGGGCCCATTTTGGCATTTGCCGTTTGCCTGCTCGACAGTTGGGAACATTTTCTGATCACGAGCAGCAGGCTCGTCGTCCGTGAGTGTAGCTCGTTGTCCTGCCGTCCTGTCTCTGAGAAGAGCCATGTGAGACATCTTGCAGCCTGTACCATTTTGCTTTCAGTTCGTTTGGCTGCTTGACTACATCTACAAAGTTAAACTGAATTCCAAGCAACGTACTGAAGTGAAAGCCAAGTGGTTCTAACTTTTAAAACTTGAAGCTGATTGTTGTAGAAATGGTTTAGGTGATTGGAAGCGACTGCCCGCTAGAGGCTGGTGAACAAAGACATGACATTTTAACTCCACATTTCAAAACACAGAGACAGAATCTCTTAGAGGGGAAACAGTCCAGCAGCCTTTCTACACTAATAAATTTTAAATTTAAGATCTGGGATGGCCACAGAGACACAGAACACTGAACACGCTGGGATCATTGTGAAACCAAGAGATGGCGATCATGGCCAGAAATGGGGAGTGGCCAAATAGTGACTATTTTCCTGAAAGCAGGACCTTTAAACGACTCATTTAAGAAATGATAAATTAGTCTTACCAAGGGCCAGTCAGAATGCTGCAATTCAATACCTAGATGACTGACACTTTGCTATGTACAACATACTGATATCTTAATTTTTTTGTGAAAATTTAATGGAAAATGTACATGGCCAAAAATGCTAAATGATTAGTTACAGTAAATGTTAACCTAATTTCAAATGACTAGACTCTGTGGTAAAAGTTAAACACAGAGATTTTACAGAAAGAATTTATCTGAAGAGATTCATTTTGTTTTGATAAGAATATATTGTTTAGACACAGAGTGATAAATTAATTTGAAATCTCATCTTCTGGTTTGGGACTCCTCTGTCACCTCCATTATGTTTCTCACTTACCTGCATCTTTGTAAACATATTTATATGAGACTGTATTGATGAGAACATGACCCCCTGTGTCAGCATATCAAGCCAATAATAATATTTCATGATTCATTTTTCATACCCTAAGAAAGAAGTTAAACGTGCCACTTTAGGAATATTTTGCCTCATTTTGAATATGTAAACATTGTCTGGAACTTGCTTACCTATAAACAGGAGTAGCAGGCCCCCAGCCCTTTCCTCTCATTGAAGGTTTTATAAGAACACCTACTCTGCTTTCTCTAAACTGGAAGAATATCGTGCGTCTCCCATCCCCTGCTCTGATCGGCTCGTTGCTTCCCTGGATCCGGTGTCTGATTCTGCCCACTCCATCCGCACCTCCAGTACCTCGCTGGGGTCCTCCTATCTTCCCAACCCTGAGTTTCCTGCCTCCAGCTCTGTTCCCCGCACTGGGGCTGGGGCCGGAGCGATGCTTTTACCGTTCCCAAATGCCCCCAACACTTCGGTGGGTCTCTGCTGCCTCTTCCTAAAACCCAAGCCCCTGAACCTGGCTCAGGAGGCCACCCGGTCAGACCTCCCTCGGATCGCCGGCCTCACCCTTCCTTGCCACCCCCACCCCTCTGTCTGTCTCGTTCTCAGGCTTCCTGTTTTCATTGGCTGGCCCTTTACATTTCCATTTCCCTCTTACTAAAATGCTCTTCTCTCCCCACATCTCCGGGCCTCTTCTTTGTCTCACCAGCACTAGACATGTTCCAATTTTCTGCTTAAATTTTCCTTTCTCCATGAAGCTTTTTCTGACATCCAATCCTGGCTTAAGTCCCCCTCCTATGTTCTCCCTGACAAGGGTTATGTCATGAAACCATGCAGAGCTTATTTATATCTCTAGTACCTTTAGAGGCCCAAGAAGGCAGGCTTCTGTCTTAGATCCCCAGTGACTGGTGCACAGCAGGGGCTTGATAATAATTGAAATATACTGGAATAATATAAACCTCATTTACAAACACTTCAGCCATCATTATTTACTTTTCCTTTACATTTGTCTTAATCCTTCCTTGTAAAAGAATTCAAATTGGGACTCTTCTCCGTGCCCCCTTTTTTCAGAATCCCTTAAAAATTCCTTGGCTTTGCCTGCAGAACTAACAAAAATCATTACTATTTCTGGGGCATCCACTGCTTGCCCAGGCAGTGCCTGAGGTGTTTGACTGACTCCATCCTCGCGACCCCACGAGACGGTGATATCACAAGGTGCACCTTCTGGGAGGCTGACTTGCCCAGGGTCAGATGGTGCAGCAGCTGGGGATCCAGCTCTGGTCTAGCGTCCCAGGCCATACTCCCAACAACTAGTCATTCCCGGAGGTGGGACGCTGCAGCCTTAGGGCTTCACAGTTCTCTTGTTTCTTTGTGGAGTCATCCTTCGCGATGACTGGCTGCATTTGCAGTGGCTGAGACTGAGTATCTGTTGTACCTTAAGCAGACTGAGTAATACTGGCCCATCTGGCACAGGATTCCTGCAGGACAGCCCACACACGCTTTCCCTTATTACCCTTACAGCTTGAGAATGAAGTAATGTGGCATTTTCTCTAAATGGAAATTGATGGCTTTTTCCCACTAGAGTTAAGGATGTTAAATAAAGCCAAGCGCAGGAGCGCCCGTCTGTTTCTGTCACTTAACCTTCAGCCCAGCCCTACTTAAAACCTAGAATTGGGGCTGGGGCCGGAGCGATGCTTTTACCGTTCCCAAATGCCCCCAACACTTCGGTGGGTCTCTGCTGCCTCTTCCTAAAACCCAAGCCCCTGAACCTGGCTCAGGAGGCCACCCGGTCAGACCTCCCTCGGATCGCCGGCCTCACCCTTCCTTACCACCCCCACCCCTCTGTCTGTCTCGTTCTCAGGCTTCCTGTTTTCATTGGCTGGCCCTTTACATTTCCATTTCCCTCTTACTAAAATGCTCTTCTCTCCCCACATCTCCGGGCCTCTTCTTTGTCTCACCAGCACTAGACATGTTCCAATTTTCTGCTTAAATTTTCCTTTCTCCATGAAGCTTTTTCTGACATCCAATCCTGGCTTAAGTCCCCCTCCTATGTTCTCCCTGACAAGGGTTATGTCATGAAACCATGCAGAGCTTATTTATATCTCTAGTACCTTTAGAGGCCCAAGAAGGCAGGCCTCTGTCTTAGATCCCCAGTGACTGGTGCACAGCAGGGGCTTGATAATAATTGAAATATATTGGAATAATATAAACCTCATTTACAAACACTTCAGCCATCATTATTTACTTTTCCTTTACATTTGTCTTAATCCTTCCTTGTAAAAGAATTCAAATTGGGACTCTTCTCCGTGCCCCCTTTTTTCAGAATCCCTTAAAAATTCCTTGGCTTTGCCTGCAGAACTAACAAAAATCATTACTATTTCTGGGGCATCCACTGCTTGCCCAGGCAGTGCCTGAGGTGTTTGACTGACTCCATCCTCGCGACCCCACGAGACGGTGATATCACAAGGTGCACCTTCTGGGAGGCTGACTTGCCCAGGGTCAGATGGTGCAGCAGCTGGGGATCCAGCTCTGGTCTAGCGTCCCAGGCCATACTCCCAACAACTAGTCATTCCCGGAGGTGGGACGCTGCAGCCTTAGGGCTTCACAGTTCTCTTGTTTCTTTGTGGAGTCATCCTTCGCGATGACTGGCTGCATTTGCAGTGGCTGAGACTGAGTATCTGTTGTACCTTAAGCAGACTGAGTAATACTGGCCCATCTGGCACAGGATTCCTGCAGGACAGCCCACACACGCTTTCCCTTATTACCCTTACAGCTTGAGAATGAAGTAATGTGGCATTTTCTCTAAATGGAAATTGATGGCTTTTTCCCACTAGAGTTAAGGATGTTAAATAAAGCCAAGCGCAGGAGCGCCCGTCTGTTTCTGTCACTTAACCTTCAGCCCAGCCCTACTTAAAACCTAGAAGCTTTCTTTGTTGTTAACGGTTGCCAGCCAGTTTGCTATGCCCTTGACAGAGCTAATCAGAACCAATCCTTGGCCTCATCTTTTGTAGAATGCTAACTTCCTGGTAAACCATAGATTCACATCATTGGCCTTCATTCATCAATTCAGTTATTTTATTGGTGAATAATAAAGTTGAGGCATTTTTTTTCCTGGTGCTCAGGGTCCTTTTATCTCTCAGCTGTTTAATCTGAGAGCTTTCTTTGCTTTGTAAGGGAGAAGGTCAGGGGCCTCAAAATGGTCTAAAGAACAGTGCTATCTTCAGGGATTTACTTAGGGGATGGGGTGGAGGGAGAACTTCAAAAAATGGCTAATGCCTAGGTGCCACAGCAGGCACCCTAACTTAACTGTTCTTGGTGGAACCTGGGCTCTGGGAGCTTTGAAAGCACCCTTGGTGATTGCGGTGTTGAGCCAAGTGTCTCTACTAGTGGTGGGAGTGGGGAGAGTGAAGACGGAGCCATCTACCAGTGGAGTGTTTCTCCACCTTGGCTTAAGTTTGAAAAGGTGTCTGTCCTTGTATATCTGTTTACAGAAGGAATAGCCCCAGGAGCAAGGGTGTTGTTCATATGAAGGAGCGCATTTACTTTTTCTCTCCGGAATGAGATCTTCAGCTCCACTTGGCAGATAAAAGTGGAGTATGATGCCGCGGCTGGCACGGCCAGGGACATCAGAAACCTTTTTTTTTAAATCACTTTTAACAAAAAGAGGGAATCTCAGCTCAAGTATTATCTGCTTTGGGTCTGACGTACCCACACTGGTTTGTTGGTGTTATGAGCCTTGCATCGAGACAAGTTTTCATAAATATTTTTAAGTCATTTTTAAAATTTTCTACCTTGCAATTTTGCAAAGTGAGTCTTACTGCTTTCAACGTGTGATATTTTAAATTTCATTAGTAAAAATATGAAATGAGATTGAAAACAGAATACACATTGTAAGTACATGTAATTAACATCCCATTGGCACATATTTACATGCGCATTATAGATTTT